GGACCATGTACTGGATGGACGTTTACTGTATTCCTTTGGTAAAATCATTTCCCCCTGTTTTTTCTTAATCCCTGAAGCCTTGCACATATGTATGTGTGTTTTTAAGAGCAGTAACCTCTTCCAGATATTACAGACTGACTTTGGTAGGAGAAGACCTTTACCTGTGAGTGGGGGCATACTATAGCATGCTATAACCTAGGTCTAGTGATACAGGGGTGTGTGGCAGCAGTAGGTCTGGGGAGCATGATGTCTCCAGCTCAGGCTACTGAGGGCCATAGTTTTGACAACTGCATGGATCTTAGCAAGCACTGCAGAGGGTCTGCAGTGGCTGCAAGGGCTCCTGGAGCCTCAGCAGTGCTTCTAGGGCTAATGGCTAGGGATCAGGCTAGGTGGAGGTAGGGCTGGAGGGGAACCCTTTCTAGCTAGGAAGTTCCCTCTATGTGCTAAGCAATGCTGGCTTGAGGGATGAGATGATACTGCCAAAATATGCAGTCTTAATGTTTCTAAAATTTCTTAAGTGGACTTCTGAGCTTTGTGAGAGTGCTATTCATGGAAAGCTATTCAATTGTTGATCATTTTGTGGGGTGGTGGGAATAGAGTCTCCTACTTTGCCATTTTGGTGATGTCACTTCTGAGACCATTGTTTTTAAATAGAGTGTTCTTGAGTATAGCAATTTAGATTGGCAATTTGTTTTTCTTTTGGATCATCTAAAGCTTCATTGTACTCTGTACTTGTATCTCTCTGTTTTTGAGGACTTAAATGTTAGTATAGATGTTGCTCAGTTGGAGGTAATGTGTACCAATTCTCTTAAACATTTTTTCTTTGTCAGGTTTCTACTATTTCTCATATCTTAACAGAAATAATTAGGTTATATTGTAGTAACATATAATCCAAATTTCAGAAGAATTAAATAAACAAAATTTATTTATTCTTACACTACACATTCTGCCCAGTTTGGCTGGGCCTCTGCTTATAATTGTTCAACTTCCCAAGTTGTTGAATGCCTCACTCTCTTATGCCACCACTTAAAAATTTTTTTTCAACGTTTATTTATTTTTGAGAGAGAGAGAGAGAGAGAGACAGAGTGTGAATGGGGGAGGGGCAGAGAGAGAGGGAGACACAGAATCCAAAGCAGGCTCCAGGCTCTGAGCTGTCAGCACAGAGCCTGACATGGGGCTCGAACTCATGAACTGCTAGATCATGACCTGAGCTAAAGTTGGACGGTTAACTGACAGAACCACCCAGGTGCCCCAAGCTTTTATATATTTCTTTCTGGAAGTGCCACACATCATTTTTTTCACACTTCATTCAAAAGGCAGATCACAAGGTCATGCTTAACTTCAAACAGGCAAGGAAGCATTGATATTTACGTGTGTCCAGAGAAAACCAGAAATGTTGCTGAACACTAGTCATGTCTACCACATCTATGATATGTCTACAGATAAACTCGTTTTTATGTCTTACTTGAGTTTTGTTGGGTTTATTCACTTTAAGCATTAGAGTGTTTCATAAGTTCTGGAAAATGTATAGCAATATGTTTCAAATTTTGCTTCTGCTCATTTCTCTCTCTTTCTGTGTGTGTGTCTTTCTCTGTCTTCCTGTCTTCCCTCCCAATTTCACTTTAGTGTAAACCTTCTTGCTCCATTTATATTTCTGATCCTCTCTTCTGTATTTTTTGTTCTTTTGTTTCTCTGTGCAGTATTCTAGATAATTTCTTCTGACTTATTATTCACATCAATAATTCTCTGTACCTGAATTTAATCTGATGAAAAAATTTTAATTTCAACAAACATATTTTTCACCTATAGAAGTTCTTTTGGGTTTAAAATTTTTTTCTACACTTTTTTTTTAGTTCCTTGAAGATTCTTTAAGAGTGTATTTTTATTTCTTTAAATATAGTATGTATGGTTTTTATATAGCCTATATCTGATATATCTAATATTAGAAGTATTTATCCATTTCAGTAGTTTCTCTTGGTTATTGCTTAAAAATTGTTTTTAAATGTTTATTTTTGAGAAAGAGTGTGGGTGGGGGAGGGGCAGAGAGAGGGAGACACAGAATCTGAAGCAGGCTCCAGGCTCTGAGCTGTCAGCACAGAGCCTGACATGGGGCCCGAACCCACAAACCGCAAGATCATGACCTGAGCTGAAGTTGAATACTCAACCGACTGAGCTAACCAGGCACCCCTCTCTTGGTTATTGTTAATGGACTTTTGTTTCTTTGTGTGTCTGTTTATTCTTGACAATGTACTGGCCATTTTATTTATGAAAATTATTTATAGAAGTGATTTGAGGCCTAGCATGAAGGCAATTTCTTCTGCGAGGATTTTATTTTTCCCATGATTTTATAGCATTATTAGTGGTGGGCCACCTTAATACAAGTACAAAACCGATATTATCTAGACAATCTAGAGATTCAAATACTAAATATAATTTTATACAAGGGCATGTCTATTTCAGTTGGTATCCCAGCTTATTGTGGAGACTGTTAGATGTCTCATCTGGGTATAGGTTTGGATTTGATTTATGCCTCCTCACCATCAAAGGCCGTGAGAAAGCCACATTTTCTTGTATAGGGTAATTCTATCCAGGCAAAAACATTGCACACTCCTGTGTTACAATGAATTCCCATTTTCCCTTCAGATTTGGCCTGATTTTTCCTTCCTATCTTATCAGGTCTTTAATCTTTTAAGATCACTTTTAGTATGCTTTACTCCACTTTTTTTTTTTTTTTTTTTTTTTTCAGCAGAAGAGATAGCCTCAAATAACCAAGCTTACTATTACTGAGAAAGTCTTCTGGAATTTTTTACAGTCATGAAATCATCCACTGGCTTGTGTCACCAACTAGATATAAGCTACCTGAAGGCAAAAACATTATCTTATTATTTTCTACATTTACAGCATTTAGCACAGGACTTGCTTCTCAATCAATGTTATCATCATCATCATCATCATCGTCATCATCATCATTATTTTTATGATGTTACTATTAATAATAGTTTCTTGTATACTTTTAGAATCCTATTTCAATGTATTACCTCATGTCAGACTTTTTAAAAAACTGAGTAAGCTTCATAGGATGTCTCCCTTCTTCTACTCTTTTACCTTCTTCCCATTTACTTCCATTTCCTTCCTAGAATGGACCTCCACAGGTGCTGTGGATTGAATTGTGCCCCTCCAAAATTCAGATGTTGCAACCCTAGTTCCCAATGTGACTGTCTTTGGAGATATGGTCTGTAGGAGGTAATTAAGGTTAAATTAAGTCATAAGAGTGGGGCCCTAATCCACCCTCATAACAAGAGAAGAGAGGGAGAGAATTATCTAGCTCCATCTTTCCCTGTGTACACATACTGAGAAAAGGTCATGTGAACACACAGTGAGATGCAGTGGCTTACAAACCAAGAGAAGAGGTCTCAGAATGAAAACTACCTTGCTAACACCTTGATCTTGGACTTTCCAAACTATAGAACTGTGACAAAAAAAATTTCTGTTTAAGGCACCTAGTCTATGGTGTTTTGTTATGGCGGCCTGCCTGAGAAGACTAATAGCACACTAGGAGTCTTTCCAAGTTCAGCATCTTCCCAGATGTTTCCCTTTTTGATACACCACTTCTAACTTCCAGAGTGGAAGCATATGGAGCCAGGTGTAGACCTGAGCAGTGCAAATGGGTACCCCAGGGACAAAGCCTTGATTATATTATGAGAAAAATTCTCATTTTGCTAACCCCAATTCAAAGCTAATGGAGATGATTCTAGGGCCTCAGGAAACCCACTTCTCTGTTCCTGACAGGAGAACAGGAACTTAGTCTACTAGATGACAAGCTGATATGACAAGAAAGAGGTGGTTTGGGTCCCAGTTCCAAGTAGGACCAAGATCACAGATTTGGTCACTCAGGAAGAAGTCTTATTTGGATGAAATGATTAAGCCACTCATATAAATCTCCATCTTGTCCACCCTGCTATTTTCTGACCCTGGAGGGAAGCCCTAAATTAGTAGTATATTGCTGTACAACAAATTACTGCCAAACTTGGAAGCTTAAAACAACAACTATCTAGGATCTCATAGTTTCTATGGGCCAGGAATCTGGGCATGGCTTTTCTGGTTCCTCTGATCTCTGATCTCTGATCTGGTTCCTCATGATCTCTCACAAGGTTGCAATTACCTTAAGGTTCAAATGAGACTGAATGCCACCCAAACTTATTTACTTGGTTATTGGCAGCATTCAGCCACTGGTGGAGTGTCTAACTTAGAGCCTCAGTCCCTTGCTGACTCTTGACTAGACACCTCCCTCAGTTTCTTGTCATGTGGATCTCTCCACATGCAGCTCAAAATATGGCAGTTGGCTTCATCAGAGCAAACAAATGAGAGAGCAAGATGGGTCAATGAGAGAAACCAGCGTCCTCTTGAAACATCTCATCACTTTTGCCAAATTCCATTGTTAGATGAATGTTACTGTGTTCAGGCCACATTCGAGTGTGAGGGGGATTACATAAGAGTGTGAATATCAGTAAGCAGGAATAACCAGGACATTTTAGAGGCTGCTTACCATGGTCCTCTCTTCTAAAGCTAGATGAGAGTCTTCTGCATGAGACAGAGAAGGAAAGGGAAGATTCTTCCACTGACCTCGGGGACTGTGAACCGTAACTGAGATGGAGGAATTTGGGCCCCTACCAGCCTTATGCAAATCTACTGGGAGGGCAGTAGCACCTAGAGTCATCTGAAGGTCTGTCCTCATTGGTATGCATGGAGCTGAGTCTTGCTGGCTTGTGAGAAATAATTGTGTATCTCTTCCAACTCCATGTTCAGTGATGCCACATTGGTAGCTTCAAATTGATCACAGTGTTTATAATACAGAAATCGACAAATGTTATACATGAAAGGTCCCCCTCACCCCTCCACCCTACCCAGAGAGCTCATTTTTTCATACTTACCAGAATACCACTGCATGGTCTCCTAAAATCTCCTGTGTCCTGTGTTCTGTGTATGTGTCTCTCTTGCAGCTGTGAAGCTGAGTCTGAAGAATGGGAGACACCACTGTGAGGGGAGAGTGGAAGTGAAATACCAAGGAAAATGGGGCACAGTGGATGATTACTGGTGGAGCTTGAAGGATGCAAATGTGGTGTGCAGACAGCTGAAATGTGGACATGCTCTTGATGCTCCCAGAGCGGCTCGTTTTGGATCAGGGGTTGGGCCTATTTGGTTTACATATATTGTTTGTAAAGGTACAGAATCAACTCTCAATGAGTGTAATTCTTTTCATATTCAAAACTACAGAAAGAAAAACGATTTCCACAGTCATGGTGTTGGAGTAGTCTGCTCAGGTAAGGCCTGTGTGGTCTCGTGAGGGGTCTCCAGTAGGAGTAGCCTTGGTTTAATTCCCAGAATAACTAACAATGCAGGATCACATATTTGGGTGAAGACTCCAGTCACACAGTGACTCCTAGAGTATTAGGTGTTCAAGGAAGCATAAGGACTTGCTTGGCCCTGGACAGTGAAGGCTCCAGACCTATGGGTCACAGGGCCATTCAGAGCTCAATGATCTGTCATAAGAAGTAGGAAGGTGGAGTCAAGTGTTTCATACAGGTACAACCCAGCAATTGATGAAATAAGTTTCATCATGGTAGCTCTTTTGTTTTCTTTCATGAGATGGTCAGTCAGGTACAGACAAAAGAGGGGACATGGGAGAGGTGGAAAAGTGGATCTTTTCAAATTGTAACTTTGGCAGATCTTTGATGATACTAATTCAGGTCCCTAAAATACACAGTTATTTTCTTTTTTGAGAACTACTTTATTGAAGTATGATTGACATGCAAAAAACTGTATATACTTAATGCATACAATTTGATGAGTTTGGAGGTGAGTATACATCTGTGAAAGCATTATCACAGTCTGTGCCATAAGAGCTATCTATCATCTCAAAAGTTTCCTCCCACCCTCTTTATTATTATTAAAAAAATAATTATTTTCAAGGGGGCATTTGAGTTTACTACCTTCAGTTAGGGTTTTTGAAGAAAGCTTGTTTTCTGGCATTTCAGGTAACGTTCCTTATTGTCGTGAGGTCCTAATCATGGTATCAACTGCAGATCAACTTGTGTAAACACTACAGGAGGACCTGACTTACTTTGTTTGATAAATCAGTATCTGAGGAAAAATGGAGTCTGTGATGTCAGAACTTCTATTACTACCTTAAGAAAATTGATGCTTTTGATATTAATTCCAGTTAAGATATGCTTAAAGACAAAAAGAGTTTGAGAGTGATATGGCATCTAAACATTGATTTTGGTTTTTACTCCCTGACCACCATTACCATCGCTTTAATTTTAACTTTTCATATTTTTATGAACTGTTCCGATTTTTTTCTAATCTCTTTGTCAGAAGTTTATTCCCTCTGGTCTGTTTCTATATTTTCCAGAACATGTTTTAGTGTGTAAAGGGAAGTCAAAGTGGTAATGATGCAGTCTAGATAAGAACAGGCAACCATGCCCTTTATAAATTTTCAGATTTAAATTGAATTCTTGAATTTCCTTTCTCTCAATTTTAGGAAAGGGGTATGAAAAAGACATTTCAGCCTCTAGTAGATTGTTAGAAATAAAATATTGTGTTTAAGAGAAATTCAGAGGTAGAAAGAATGATCTCTGAAGAATATAGAGGAGCTTGTTTGAAATAAAGAGGGAATTTCAGAGGGTTCGGGGAGAAGGATTGGGGAGGGGCTTCACAGATTGGGAAGGGCCACAGCACTGAGGTACAGAATGGTAAGGGGATGAAGATACAATTAATTGAAGGAGGGGAGGTTGGGGACTGAAAATCCATGCTAATTCATATATTCACTACAGCTTCTGTTTTTAACCTTCTTGTTCTCATTTCTTCCTTCCCTCTCTTCCTCTATGTTGATGTAGGAGTAGTTTTGAGCTCTGTAGAAGTGCTGGTATTTGAAAATTGCAATTTTCTTTGTGGGAAGTTTTTATAATATGCATTCTATTTCTTTAACAAATATAGGACTAGTTATATTTTCCATTTCTTTTGGTATCCGTTTTGGATAAATTGTGTTTTTCAAGTAATTAGTCTTCAAGGATTCATCCTATTATAAGTAAAATTTTCAAATTAGGACAAAGTTTGTTCATATCTCATTATCGTTTGCATATTGTAAGATCCATAATGATAACCCCCTTTCCATCCCTGATATTGTTAATCTGTGTATTTTATTTTTTCTTGATCAGGTCTACTAGAAGATTATCAGTTTTATTTTTAAGGGATTCACCAATGAACTTTGTTGATTTTACTTATTGTGTATTTGTTTTCTATTTCATTAAGTTTTGGTTCTTAGTTTACATTTTTTGGTTATGATTTGCTGTTATTTTTATAGATTCTTGAGCTTGAATTTTAGATAATTTATTTTTAGTTTTTCTTTTCTATTCTAATGTATGCATCAAGGAAGTGTCAAGGCTCTAGATTTCCTTCTGAGCACTGCTTTAGCTGTATCCCACTAATTTTGATATTGCATGATTTCTTTTGTATTTTATCATCATGAAATGTTTCTTATTTCTGAATATATTTCTTGTCTTGTAGTCTTACTTTTTTTTGATATTAACATAGATACAATAGCTTTCTTTGATTAGTGCTTGCATGGTTTATCTTTGCTGATACTTTTCATATGTTTCTATGTTTATATTTAATGTACATATGTTTTGTGGATAGCATATGGTGTGTCTTACTTTTTTCCCCCTAGTTTTTTTGAGATATAATTGAAGTTGTGCCTTACTTTATTCAGTATGATTATCTTGCTTTTATTTGGAGTATTTAAATTATTTCAACTTAATGTAATTATTGATATGCTGCAGTTTAAGTCTACTAGCTGGCTATTTGTCTTATGTATTCTTTGTTCCTGTGTCTTTGTGTATTTTTTAGTATTCTCTTTTATTTACCCTATTGGTTTATTAGATATATTGCTTTTCTTAGATTTTACCATAATGCTGATATTATTACTCTTTAATTATGTTTTACCTTCAAAGGATATTATCTCACTTAATAGAGAATGTAAGACCTGAACACAGTATACTTCCATTTCCCTGTTCTTGTCATTTGTGCAATTGTTGTCATACATTTTACTTATAAATATATTATAAATCTTGTAACACATTGCTGTGATTTTTGCCTTAGCCATTTTATTATTTTAAAAATGAGACAAAGTTTTTTTATATTTACCCACAGATTTATCATTTACAGTAGTGTTTATGGCTTTGGGTAGATTCACATTTTCATCTGTTATTATTTTCCTTTAGCTTGAAGAACTTTCTGTAACATTTTTGTGTAGTGCAATTCTGGTGGCCTCAAATTCTATCATTTTTTATTTATCTGAAAACGTTTTTATTTTCATTCAATTTTGAACTGCATTTTCACAGGCAATTGAATTCTAGGTTGATGGTGTCCTCCCAGTACTTTAAAAATGTTTCTACATTGTTATATGGCTTGCATTGCTTCTAACAAGGAGTTTTGTTTTTATGCCCCCCTGTATAATGTACCAATTTCCTTTGGATGCTTTTAAGACTTTTTTAAAAGACTTTTTTGTAATGATTGGATTTCAAAAATTACATTATCAAGTGCCCTGAGGTAGTTTTCTTTATGTTTATCTTGTTTGGAATTTGTTTAGCTTCCTGGATCAGTGAGTTTGTAGTTTTCATTAAATTTGGGAAAATTACATCCATTATTTCTTCAAATATTTTTTTCTACTCATTCCTTATTCTGAATCTCCAAATACATATTTTAAAATATGGGTTAATATTAACCCATATGTGATTACATTTCCATTACTATTTTTCTTTCTTTCTTTCTTTCTTTCTTTCTTTCTTTCTTTCTTTCTTTCTTTCTTTTTTTTATAGGATTCATACCCAGTGTAGGGCTTGAACTCACAATCCTGAGATCAAGAGTTGGCCACTTAACTGATTGAACCACCCAGACGCCCCACCACTTTTCCATCTTTTCTCTCTCTGTGCTTCAAAGAGAAAGCTTCTATTGCCCTGCATTTAACTTTACAGTTCTTTTATTCTGCAGCATCTAATCTTTTATTAAGTTATCTATATAATTTTTCATTCCAGATATTGGATTTTTCAGTTTTAGAAGTTCCATTTGGTTATTTTTTTCTAGTTTGTAAAAATCTGTTTTATGTTTTATTGAGTATATTTATATAAGTCATTTAAATATTTTGTCAGCTAATTCAATCATCTCTCTAATTTCTGTATCTGGTCTTAATGCTTCCTCTTTTCAAAATTAAAACATTTTTTGGGGCACCTGGGTGGCTCAGTTGGTTAAGCGTCCGACTTTGGCTCAGGTCATGATCTCGTAGTTTGTGAGTTCGAGCCCCGCATTGGACTCTGTGCTGACAGCTCAGAGCCTGGAGCTTGCTTTGGATTCAGCGTCTGCCCCTCCCATGTTTATGCTCTCTCTCTCTCAATAATAAATAAACATTAAAAAAAATTAAAACATTTTTAAAACGTTGATGAAGGAAATGAAAGGATATACAGATAAATGGAAAAGACATCTTGGGTTCATGGATTGCAAGGTGGCTATTCTTTAAAAAAATTTTTTTTTAATGTTTATTTTTGAGACAGAGAGAGACAGAGCATGAATGGGGGGAGGGTCAGA